GTTCGTATCTCAAGCACAATCTTCCTTATTATGTATAGTGTTGATAATATGCATACAGGACTTGATAACAGATACTCTCATAATTGGTGGGTCTCACAGGTTATGGGCGTCAAAACTTCCAACTAAGTTTTTTGGAGTATATATTGTACTACTTCTAGTATTATATATTGGTATTTTAAAGTTGGTGTTCCTGTGTTCTGTTTCATACTTGTTCTTTTTTCCAGATCTTATTCTAGGATCTTCCTCTAGTCATACTACCAAAGTAGCCAAAGAATGTACAACTAAGATAGCTCACGTAACCTAGTGACCAGACAAGTACTTCCAGTTGGATATAACCTTGCCGTGTCTTGTCCATTTTAAGCATATTCCAAGTTTTCACCTGCCAACTTCTCTATATAAGGAAATCCTATTCAATCTAGTAGTAGTACGGGTGCCAGAGGTATTCCAAATTTGATAAGGCCAATTCTTTATCACAGGTCCCTTTGTTCACCACATTTCTCACCACTTCCAATTCTAGTTACTATCTAGTTGTTCTCCCAAACAAGATCTCCAATTCCACCTTGGGTTGTTGGTGCTATTTTGCCAATCGCAGATTTACACACACAACCTTTTGTGTAATAAAACCTTCTGTAACAACCCCTGTTATACATAGTGCCAACTACTCCACAATGGATCTCTTTCTGGAAATTCCTAATCCAGATCTGTATTTACTTGAACTTCTTATAGCAGATATTTCCAAATATTCGTAGGTAAATATATCTACTAGAACTTGAACCAAAAACCCACTCGTAGAGGGTTGGGTGCCTAGACCACTAGGCTGCAGGATCTCAACCCAAATTTTAAAAAAAAGTTACTATATGCCCAACTGTGTAATTGTATAGGAGGATGACTATAACACTAATACTAACTCTAACCTTTAACTCTAATACTAACTCTAATCTCTAACTCTAACCCAAACCCTAAAACTAATAAGTAAATATTTCTTCTAGCTTTAAGTAAACTTGTAGAAGAGGCTTTTCTGGTTAAATTATCAAAATTGGCTTAGTAGATTCCAAGATATTTAGAATTAAAGACGTGAATATAAAGATCTACAAATTTACTATTATACAAAGTATTATAGTCTATAATACTTATATTCACACCTTTAAACCCAAATATCTTGGGATCCACTAGGCTGATTTTAATAATTTAACCACTATTAGAACTAGAAAATTGTTCTCTACAACTTTATTTAGAATCAGAAGAATTGTTTACTTATTAAAAACATCTTTAATTTTTTAAAAAACTAACTTAGCTTTGATTATTCTAATTTTTCTATAAAGTTAATAAGTAAATCTTTCTTTTAACTCTAAGTAAAGTTGTAAAAGAGATTTTTCTGGTTCTAATAGTGGTTAGATTATTAAAATCAGCCTGGTAGATCCAAAGATATTTAGGTTTAAAGACACAAATATAAGTATTATAGATTATAATACTTTGTATAATAGTGAATTTGTAGATTTTTATGTTCGTACCTTTAACTCAAATATCTTGGGATCTATTAATCTTACTTAAAGCTAGAAGAAAGGTTTATTTATTAAAAAGCTTTTTAATTTTTAAAAAACTATAATTTACTATATAAATACTAAAAATAGTAAATTTTGTATTACTATAGTGGAAATAGCAAACTATCATAGTGGAAATAGGCCTTCCCTTTTTATATTATACTAGTCAAATATAAGAAATTCGACTACTAAATGAATAGCCAATTCAATTCGATAGTCGAATAATTAAAATAATTCAACCTGAATTCGATAGTTGAATAATTGGCTAATTTTATATCGAATTGTTAAAATAATTCAACCTAAATTTGATAGTTGAATAATTAGCTAATTTTATATTGAATTGTTGAAATAATTTGATTATCGAATTCAGATTGAATTATTTCAACAATTTGAAATAAAATTAGCCAATTATTTGACTATCGAATTTAGGTCAAATTGGCTATTTCATTCAGTAGTCGAATGCTATAATAAATCAATAAGAATTTGATTACTAAATACTAATATAAAATAGGGTGATTAGTAATTGATTACTAAATATTCAGAATAAAATTAAGTAGTCGAATATTACTGTAAAATCTCAAAATAGTGAGTATAGGAATTATTTTGAAACTTGGCCTGAATTAAGCTTAATTCAAGCCAAGTTTCAAAATAACATCCATGCCTACTATTTCGAGATTTTATAGTAAAATATTTATATATAATAATATTAAAATAAATCAGACTATAATCAGAAAAAATTTGATATATTTATTAATAATTAATAAGTATAGATAAAATATATATACAAAATATATATATATATTAAGCAAAAATAAATATTAAGCTATTCATTTAGGGCTCTGACATTTATTATCTAATATTCATTTACTATAGAGCTCTATCCCTCACCCCAGATAAGGTTTTTGATTAGCCAATCAAATTTTTGTATTATATAGAGATAAGGTTTGGCTTTACCCCTTACCCTCTAAAATATTACCTAATAAATATCAGCACTCTTACTTGGTTGTTCTACTATAGTACCAGAAGCTAGTCTTTTATCACTTGTTTTGTCACCCCATTTCTATCACCTCCATTTCTACCACCATCATTACTATCCTCACCTTTATCCTTATTATAATCACTATCACTATCTTTATTATTTTTATTATCTTTATTATTTTCATTATCATTATTTTCATTCCCTTCTTTCCCACTAGAATAAATTTCTTCATTTTCTCCATCTGCTGCTCAATCGGGTACACCTTCAGGCCTCTGAACTCTCAACATATGTGATCTTTTACGGGAATATTTTTGAGCTAGCACAACTATCAGATCAAGAATTTATACGGTGCAAATCATCTAAGCACATCAAAAATATAATAAATGTTGCACCACTAAGCAAATCATTAATTAAGGAAATAATATTGATAATTATAGTACATGATACAATAATCAGTGCATATATATTCCAGAACAGAACTATATACATAGTAGTTTCTAGAATGTATATAAAAAAAATTATTCAATTTCGATTTTATCACGTATATACATAGCGAATGTTCATGAGTCGCTTATTTTTATACACATACTTAGAACTAGGAGCTGGAACTATAATTAAATATATATGTAATCCTAATAATAATAGATTCGTATTATTTTAATTATTCACTAATATTTATTTCACCAAAGGTCATTTTACAGACAATGTAATTCTGGTCAGTATTATTAGAGTCAGGCTAAAATTAGAGATAAAATTAGTGTAATTTATAAAAAAAAAAACTTGTTGATGAAATGAAATAAACTGATTGTCGGTAAAATAATACAGATCCTAAAGATCCTATTTACCTAGGTGTGAATGAACATTTTATATTCATCTATTTAATATCAATTCTAATTAGAAATGCTGATTTCCAATTAGAGATGGTAAGGTCTAGTCCTGGTCTGGTCCTGGTCTTGTAACCTGTAGGTTTTACTGCATGGACTTATGGACCAAGTCCTTATAAAACTAGGTTTAGGACTTTAGTTAACTTATGTCTAGTTCAAAACTTAGTTCTAGAATCTAGGTCTGCAATATATTGTAAAAAGGCGGATTTGGGATAACTAGTACTTGCAACCTAAGACACAACAAAAATCAAAGGCTATTCAAAAAGAAGGCATAGAAGATTTGATCTGAGAACCAAGGATTAGGATTCCCAGAGTTTATTATTAAACGGTCATTCACTTGTTTACAGATACATGAAATCAATGGTTATTTATACATTACAGGAGCTTTAGGGCTTTGCTAATATGATTAGAATCTCTAAGCAATATGACTATTTAGAGTATCGGGGAATCTATGACTAATGATGAGTAATTCATACTCATTTGCATGGCTATGACTTTAGTTCCCACTATAGAGGCGCCTTACTATTGTTCTTCAATAGAGCTTCACCTCACAATATACACATTGACATTTACCTATTAAATAATATTATGTGAACATATATTACTTATACATATATATTAAATAAATAATTATGATCTTAAACTATAAACATATTTAAATTTTTATTGAAATTATGCTGTATATTACTGATTAGGCTGTCCAGAATTATGCAATATATACGTAGCAGAAATTTGCAATTTAAATAAATTTTATTATTTTTAATAAATTTTAATTTGTATATTAGAGCTTTTTAAAATCCCAAGGACTCTTGGTCTTTAAAGACCAGGTCCTAAAGTCCCAGATTTAAGGACTTTACCAACCCTACTCCCAATGTAAAAAAAACATTTTACTTAACAATTAAAAATAACTACAGGGAAATACTATAAAAGTTTTGTTATAACAACTATATATATTACGTATCTAAGCTAAGCGAGTTACTTAAAGTTTAATCATCTATTATAATAACTTTTTTTGTTATTATGAAATGCTCAAGCTCATTAATTTATTTATCAATTCATGAGCTAGAGTGTCTAGAACCAGGACAAGTCTTTGATAGGAGAACCAGGGCAAGTTCATTGTGGGAGAAACTGGGGCAGGTTCTAAATATCTGACATTTAAGTATATGGTTGACCCATCAAAATCTCAGGTGCTATATATAGCAGAATACCACAAATTTTTTTGTTCTTTCTTTTCTAAAAAATCCAAGATCTGTGTTTTTGCTGTGTAAATCTTTATAAACGAGTTCTTGTGAATGAATTGACTTGAAATCCAAAGCTATACTGTGCAAGATACTCAATTTATCTTTCCACACCAACTGTGTTACTTGTACAAGATTTTGTCATAACGAACCTGTTGGTACATAATTCAAAACAATAATATAATTGCCATAATTATTTCTTGATATTTCAAGACATTCTAAGAACGAAGGATTCTTGTAATCAATTTCACAGTGGTTTTTTAATTCCTGGATAAATTCTTGTATATTTTTATTTGAATCACGAATCACTTTAAGTGCAACATTACTCCATATATTATTAATTCTATCGAATCAGTGTTCATTGTGGGGAGCCGGCAGATTCATTGTAGAGGAGAACCGAAGCAGGTTCATTGTGGGAATGATGGGGAACTGAACATGCTATGTATTGTAAAGCATTAGTAGATACGCATTAAAATAATTAATACTGTATCTCATCTTTAATTTAATTAACATTTTAATAAATTATTAACTTACAGTTCCTCTGGTTTTTTACGGATATGCAAGAATTTGAAAGGGGATATTCGTTGAACCCATTCTTCTATATCACTATCTTTGAAATCTTTAAGGTTTTCAATGAACTGAACAGTTAATTCAGGTTGTACCGCAGGGAAGTAAATAACTTCCTATTAAAAAAAAAAAGCAACTATAAGTTATACACTCTTCTAAAAAAAAACTATCTAGCACCTTTTCTAGTGCTAGAGAATTCAATGAATTTTTATAGAAGAGAAAAGGAAAGCATCTCGCAAGAAAAGGATAAGGAAAAAGGCACCTATATAAGAGAGGAAGTAGGAAAAAAATACACCATAAAGAGAATTTTTCTTACCTGTTTCCATTTAAAAAAAACTGTGACAACACAGGGTAAGACCGAGGCAGCAAAATCAACAAAATGTCAACAGCAGCCAGAGCAAAGAAGTACACTTATAATTATGTACGCTAAAGTTTGTTTTAACAAAATACTATATACGTATTGAGATCTTATACATATATGTAAACGCATGCAAAACACCTACTACAAATTCTATTGGTTGATTATACTGATCATATAATTATGCAATGTTTAATTCTTAGCAGCCTAGTTAATCTTCAATTTTCAACTAGGAAATGAATAATTACCTGTAGTCTGGAGCTTTTTTATTATAAGTTTATTAAAAATAAATATATATATATTATTTAAAATTATAAATATGTACTGTATAGCAGTGTTGTCACTGGAAGGCCACTGGAAATTAAATCAATAATGCCACTGGAACTTTAAGTTCCAGTGAAATTAAATCTTAATAATATATATATAGTATCACTAAAAAAATTTATTACAGTAGTATATTTTTTTATTTATTATTTTTTTGCGCATCATCGCTAGTATTACGTGCTCAAAATTAGCCAATAACAATAATATAACAAATCAAAGCAACATAAGCTAATAATACTATCTAAATCATTTATATTGCTATAGCAAATTCTATACAATCATGATTAATTCAATACAAAACTAATTTAACACTATTTAAATCACTTACCAGCAGCGACAAATTCTTCCTGGTCTTGAAACTTTTCATCTGTAGTAATCGAAAATTTCAAATTACTATACAATTATGATCAATCCAATACAAAACTAACTTAACACAATCTAAATCACTTACTAGCGGCTTCGAATTCTTCTCGGTATTGGCACTTTTCGTCTATAAGTATAGTAATTGAATTTTTTCATAGCAAGTTACTATACAAATCACAACTAATCCAATACAAAACTAATGTAACACAATCTAAATCACTTACCAGCGGCTACGAATTCTTCATATATTGGCACTTTTTGCATGTAAGTACAGTAACCAAAATTTCACAGAAAATTACCATACAAATTATGACTAATCTATGACTAAACCAATACAAAACTAACTTAACACTGTTGAAATCATGTACAAATCCTTCCCAGTCTTGGAGCTTTTCGTTTGTAAGTATAGTGAACGAATTTTTCATAGCAAATTACTATACAAATCACGATTAATTATAGAAAACTAACTTAATACTATTTAAATCACCTACGAATTCTTCCCAGTCTCGGCACTTTTTGCCTGTAAGTACAGTAATCAAATTTTTCACAGCGAATTATCATACAAATACAGTTAATTCAACATAACCTAACTTAACACTATTTAAATCGCTTACTAATGGCTACAATTCTTCTCAGTCTTGGAACTTTTCATTTATAAGTACAGTAATTGAATTAATCCAATACAAAACTAATTTAATACTATTTAAATCACTTACGAGCGGCTACGAATTCTTCCCGGTCTTGGTTCCAGGTATCTGTAAGCACAGGTATCGAATTTTTCACAGCGAATTATTATACAAATACGGTTAATTCAACATAAACCTAACTTAACAATATTTAAATCACTTACTAATGGCTACAATTCTTCTTGGCCTTGGAACTTTTCATCTGTAAGTCTAGTAAAATGCAGAAAATGGCTAAGTGCTTACGTCAAAAATGTACAATAATGTAGTTATTGGGTCATGTTGTTAATGATAATCGCTGATTTCTTCATAGCAGACACCACGTTATGATATCATGTCATAAGCACAATGTCCTAGTGAATAATCAGCTATCATCAACAACATGACCAATAACAAGTACTAATCCAATACAAAACTAATTTAACACTATTTAAATCATTTACCAGCAGCTACAAATTTTTCCCAGTCTTGGTTCCAGGTATCTGTAAGCACAGATATCGAATTTTTTTTACAGTAAATCACACACAAAACACGATAAATCTAGTATAAACTAACTTAACCTACTAAATCACTTACTAGCAGACAAGTTCTTCCGGTAAAAAAGAGATACTTTTGATATTTAAATACGCTGATAATGGGGCATTTAAGAAGTTTTCATGATCTTATGTGGCAACCTAAATTAAGTCTACTCAAAGATATTTTATTTAATTTATGGAAATGATGCAAAACATAGTGCAGATTTTCATTATAACAATATAATATTTCTTTGATGAAAAAAACTACGTATTCCATACCTTATTTATCTTGATATTAAGTATGTTTAATTGGTAAATCTGTTTTCCCCTGATTAAAATTTAATTACAAACACTTTTTAATCAAGGTTGTTAATGAAGTACTTCAGGGTTATAATATAACATATAAACCACTCCAGAGTGGGTTATATGTTTTATTATAACCCTGGAGTACTCCATTAACAACTCTACTTTCAACACAGTTTGATCGCTTGGCTAAGGTGCCCTAGATCTATGCGTTAGCAATATTGTAGACGTGACTGGCGGTTATTTTGCATAGTGAATACTACTGTTATTTCGATTTGAATTACCAATCAGGCAAATGCACTCCTATAAGCACAAATGCGGTTTTTTTCAAAGAATTAGAATGTCTAATATAAATACAAAGCGTGTATGCACTTTGAATTTTTTCTTTTCATGATATAACCTCTGGGCGAGTACTATGTAGACCCGGGTCTACTAAAGGGTTTAAAAAAATTTTTTTGCATAATTAAATTTTTCATTGCTTCAATGGAGTCCGCAAATGGAGCCAATGGAGCTCTGAATGGAACCAATAATTGATTCCATGCAGAGCTCCATTGGCCTCATTTGCGGACTTCATTGAAGCCAGTGCTGGACTATGACCCGTTATAATCTTGTCATATGTAGTCCAATATTGGCGTATAGAGTTGGCTAATCCACTGGCCTAATGGACAATGTCCAAGCAAATCATACCAGATTTTCACATAATAACGCCCATGAGCATTATTTCAAAATCGTATAACTTGAAATAACATGCACGGCTTCGAAGTAATGCTCATACGCGGCTTAAATAACGCGCATGTTTGGATTAGTATACATTAGCCAATTGTAAATATCTTCTTATATCGAATAATCAGCCTTTAACTCAAAATATCATAATTGAAATACTCAAGATAACATGCAGGTGGGTGTTATTATACAAAGATAAGGTAGTATGCACCTGAAACTGGCTTTAGATAAGTTTTATCTGAATATGTAATTGACAAATGTATGTATAATCAAGATTGATTGATTCCCTAAACAATATCAATAATATATATCAGTTATAAATACGCATGTAAAAAGACTTAATCAGATTATATTTTATTTAACTTTTCGATACATATACATACCTCAACGAAACTTATAATTTAATACCAAAATAAAATAAAAATAAAAATGCCAAAACAAAATAAACACACAAGACAGTTCCGAAAAGCCATTACCACGTATTGGAAAAATAAATCTTCCTCACACCACGTTAAATCGACTAATGCTGCTTCTAATGAACCTATAGTACTTGATAATATCAACCAAAATCAGCCTACAGTTGATAGTTCATCTAATAAGACCTTTGACAGTAGTGCTAGTAATGATAATTCTATATTATCATCACTAAACGCACAATTGAAAACAGAAACTGTCAATTTACATCTTAATACAACAAGACAATTTCTCCATCTTGTCCAGAAAGAGCGTACAAAAATGGAAGCAAGTAGCCTTCTGGCCGAGAGTTTAGGTAAAGGCCCATGGTATGCGCGGTGTATTCGTGCATGGGCAAATCAATAGAAGAATTGCAAAAAATTAATAAAGTCGAAATGTGGCCGACATATAAAAATGAAATCTTTAATATATAATAAAAGCTTTTGGCTTCAAATAAATCAGTATTTAGAGAAAAATAAATTTAAATTAGCCATTCCAAATTTTATAAGATACGTTAGTAGTATTATGCCTACTTTTGGAATTACAAGTAAAATTATTAGTAGGTCAACTGTACGCAGATGGCTAAAATTACTTGGGTGGAAATACCAAACCTATACAAAAAAAATTTATTTTAACGGTCACGAACATGAAGATGTGGTAGAAGACAGAAATCATTTTCTGCAAGAGATGACTAGGTTAAGAAAACAAATGGCCCAATATGTAGGTGAAAATTTAGACTGTATTATCCCTTCGGAACTTTATCCTGAAATAGTTCCTGTCACCCAAGACGAGACCACTCTTTACACAAATGATATTGTGAAGGAGTATTGGGGCCCGGCGGGTGAATATAGCCTATGGAAAAAATCACTAGTAAGAATCAGAATAACTTATATTTTTTAGTCGACTAATCAGTTAACCAAATATTATCAATCAGCTAATTAATTATACGTATAATATTTTAGTTTGTTAACTAATTCTTTATTCCTATTCCTAATCACAGGGTCAAAGTATTCACATTAGTGATTTTTTCTGTGAATCTATCGGATGTCTCAAACTTTCAGAACATGAAAGTTATATAAATGACTTACTTCCTGATTACATGCGTCTTAAATATACCCATGCGTGTGTTGCTATCTATCCGGGTATAAATCATGATGGTTGGTGGTCAGGTGATGACTTAGTTGATTAGGTAGTTAATCATGCCATCCCAATTGTAATAATTGTAAAAAAAATAAGCCTGATCCAAACAACCCAAACTGTTGCGCTTCGCATATTCTTTCAGCTCAACCTGACTTTGCAGCTCAAAAATCACGCTTAAGAGAGGTAAATAAGTTTTTTTTTTTTAAAAAAAAAAAAAAAAAAATTATATAAAAACTATTACTTACATGCATATAAACAATTTAGGTAATTGAAGATGCAAAGCACATGTGCATCTTTTACCCTAAGTTCCATTGTAAACTTAATTTCATTAAGTCTGTTTGGGCCGAGGTAAAATGTTATACAAGACTTAATTGTGATTACACTTTTAAGGGCCCCAAAAAAACAGTTCCAGAAGTATTAGATTCTGTTGATTTAATAAAGGTTTACCATTTTGCTCGCCGTTCTGAGCACTTTATAAGTGCCTATGAGCTTGGACTTTCTGGAAAGGCTGCTGAATTTGCAGTAAAGAAATATCGTTCTCATTGTTGAGTTTCAGAAAAAGTTCTTGAAGAATTCATTCATAACTAAAATATTTGGTTTTTTCTTTCTTTTTACTCTAAAAAAATATGTATTTAAAATCAATAAATAATTATTCATTTTGTCTTAAAATCAATCGTAATAAAAATCGTTCTTCGTATTTTCTTGTATCCGTGATCTTAACAAATTCGTACTATCGATTTTTAGTAAAAAAAAGAGAAAGAGAGTATCGATTATTAACTCAAACCTCTTTTATACTTATTGAAAAATGTATTATTGATTAAGGTCTGATCAACGTCATTGTTGCATCAATTAATAATATGTACCGATACCGCAATTCTATTTTTGCCTGTGACTCACATGACATTCGTTAAGAATTTTAACGAATATCGAAACCCTGTTGTGCTAAATTCAAGAAGAGTTTGACAGTCAACTAAAGTATACAAAACAACCAATATACATAAACTTCAAGGATATACTTATCCTGAAATCCAGTTATGCAGCAGCAAGCCTTGGAGCTCGGACCAAGTCTTTCCACGCCTTTCATCTCAAGGTTCTAGGAGTCTTGGGACGAATAGCTCTATTCTTTGGTGTTTAGATAGATTGATAGTTTTTGACTAAAACCCTTTAGTCACCACTTTCTCAATGTACAAGTTAAAAATAAAAAATAAAATGTCACAGAAGATCGTGAAATCTAAAAATCTTTAACCTAATTCTGACTAACTTCACATACCATTTAATTACCCTTTTTTTATCCTTGGTTGTGCTGATATTATATTTATATGTATTAGCATTCAAGACCGCTTTGTTTGTTCAAATTGCCATTTTTAGTAAATTTCAATTACCACTCAAGTGCCTTTTTTTCACCCTTGGCTGTGCTTATGCTATTTAAATGATCAACTATCCGTTCGAATTTTCATCCTCAGCAGATTTCACATACTACTCTATTGCCTTTTTTTTTATAATTGGTTGTGCTAATGCCATATTTATATCAGAATCCAAGATCACTTTGTCCATTCGAATCGCAACTTTTAGCGAATTTCACATTCTTAGGTGTGCCTATATATTCTGATAGCAAAATCCAAGATTCAATTATTCATTCGATTGTCAACCTCAGCAGATTTCACATACCATTTAATTGCCCTTTTTTCATTCTTTGCTGTGCCGATATCATATTTATAGATCGCTTTGTCCATTCGAATCGCTACCTTCAGCAAATTTCAGTGCCTTTTCTTAGTCATGGTTGTGTCTAGACCATTTAGATAAATAAAGATTCAATATTTATCTAATGCCACTCTTGTCAGATTTTATATATCACTTCATTTTCTTTTTTATTTTGGGTGTGCCTAGAGATGTACCTCGTGCGAAATAAATTATTTGATTAGAAAATTTTAATGATTAGTGATTACCAAATATATACTTTGTTTCTAAAATGAACTTTTGTCACATGGCTCGCGAGAAGTCACGCGACATGATCTCGCGTGCGATATGTGAAATGTATGCTAAGTTCATCTCGCGACATGTACATCTCTAGGTGTGCCTGATATACGTACCATATTTGTACATATCAGAATCTACGTACGTAATATTGCTTTGTCTATTTGAATTGCCACCTTCAGCAAATCTTAATACCACTAAAATGCCTTTTTCTTATCCTTGGCTATGTTTAGATTATTTGGATAACAAATCAAGATTTAATTATCTATTCTAATTGCCATCCACATCAGATTTCACATACAATATATACTACTAATTCTCTTTTTTTAATCCTTTTAGTTGTTAAAATGTACCTGTATATGTATAATTTTTATTAATTTTAAACAGGATACGTAGGATGGATTTAAAATATTCGAGATATTTTTTATGTGTTGTTCATTATCTTACCTTCCTGTGCCGTGCAATAGCTTTTCAGCAGGACCGCGAAAAGGCTTCATAAGAACTACGTATTAATTTGAAAGTAGAATTGTTAATAGTCTTAAGTAATACAAGTGTTATATAGCAGTTAGAGTAAGACTAAACAGAACATGCGTAATTTTCTGATTTTTGACTCATTTTTGTGTAACCTGTGATGGGTTACATTTTAATTATTTTCTCAAAACTTTTCAATTAACAAATCTTCTTTATATTCACATACTAAATTAACAAGAAAATGACGTTAAATAGGAACTTGAATTGCTTGTACGTACATATGTATTTATATCCATTTTGAAATTGGTTCATATTTGAATAAGTATACGTAGTATAAGGAACATTTATTAAAATAAAGCATTTAATAAAAGATTCGTGAACATTTACTGTTTATTCTTATTCTACAGTATTAAGGGTTTCAAAATTAATGATTCGATCTATTTTGAAATGATATAGAACCTTTATTTTATTTTCTAACATTAATATTTAGAAACACAAGTAGATTTTTTTAAAACTCTCTAATTTTGAAATTCTCTATTGCAGTAATATAATAACTTCGTACAATTAATTACTGACAGGATATTAAAGATAAATCACCATTTGTTGACATAGATTCAAGTGGACTTAAAGGTAATATGGAAATGAGAAATCTTATTAAAACAATTCAATGCTGTAATGTGTTACTGTATTATTTGCATTTTAATTTATTAAAAACCTTTTAATTAAAATCTTGATAACTAAAAAGTTGTATAGTTTGATCAAATCACCCAATCTCTTCAGAGTGTGGAGTATTTACTTTGGAATCAAAATTATAAACATAGGAAAATAGATAATATAAATAATTATTTGTATCATAAACATCATTTTTGTTATGATTTTTTATAATTTTTTTGATTCTATTTTCTTAATAGAATGATTGAAATCGGATATTGCACAAAGCAAAGTGATGAAAAAATAGATATAAATAATATACTTATGCCTGGTAATACGTAGTAAATTTTTATTTATTTTCTTATCATTACAAATTAACATTTATATCATATCTTTTAGGATAGGAATATAAAAAAAATAAGGAAAATCATGAGAGTAGTTACCATGATAATGATAGATATTCTTTTTGCTCAGGAAGTGATGGGTTATCATATTACTATTAATGTAGTTGGATGTTATCTAAATTTTAGAAATAAGATAGTGTTTTATACAAAAATGAGTAATCATTTTATATTTT